GAAGCAACCCTTCCTGGAATACTGGAACGCCATACTCGAAATCCGGACTTCTTCTGAACTGGAGAGGGGTAGATAGCCCAGAACTGAGCGAGAAAAAAGGAGGAGGAAGCAAAAATACGGACCTCACTTCACCCACAGCCAGCTATCCGCTTACGACTCTGCCTCCTACGTGTGAAGACTTTGAGAGTGGATGGAAGAGATGTAGAAGTGATGACTGAGCCCGGAAAGATGTGATCGAATTTGGTTGAGTTTGGCTTAAGCTTTGACTTGACTCTAACTCTGATCTCGCTACGCGCATCTCGTTCTGCTGCAGATCTTCTGGCCCTTTTATGTCCGTTTCTTGGACCACCACGATGGCTCCTAGTGCCGCTGCATTTAGGCGGATCAGCTGAGCCGCTGCCTCGCCGTTATCTCAAATCAATCACCTCCATTCCTGGCATTTTGGACCTGACCTTTGCATTATAAAAAGCCTATTTTTCCTGCCTTTCGACCTTGGGTTCGTTCCACCCCCACTTTCGGCCAGCTCCTTTCAATCAGTGTAGCCCCGCGAGGCTGGTTTGTCGAGGTCAGCCGCCTCGCTCTGCTGCCTTGCTTCCCTGCTCACTCGTCGCTAGACCTCACAGGACCTCCCAGCGTTAAGGCGAACTTCGCGCGTTTGCGTCCATCGCGCTTCTTGTTTGGATGACGAGCGGCGTCCTTCGAGGTGTGTTGTCTCTTTCTCCGTCTTGTTACACGTCGTCTGACCGTCGTTGCAGATGCCTCACCTCTTACGACGTCCTCTATCATCCTGGCAAAAGGCGAAGTAACGAACGAGCAAAGAATGGTTCAATGTATGGGAGGGGAGTCACTATAACAGGCGCTCCGGATGTGTCTTTCTCACAAGAGGCTTTATGCATATGTTTACATGAACTATCTTTCCGCTCTCTGGTGCCTACTGCCCATTCTCTTGTCTGAGTCGAATGTTTGGCGTCCGAATCTCCGCCCATCCATCACTTCGCGCCTAATGAATTCAACAACCGCGGCGTTGATAAACCCACCTAGTGGCGCATATATCCAATTGTTCCGCGTCTTCTTTATCCCCTGCCATTCTGACATGTGGGCCACAAGTCCTCATAATATTGACGCCGAAAGGCGACGCGTACCATCGAAAACAGGCCAACCTTTTTAGTGGCGCGTTTGCTTAAGTACGGTTGCCTGGTGCCGAATCGGGAGGTCGTGGCTCATCGATCAAGTTCCTTTAGGATGGTATCTGCAAAATTTGGCCCCCAAACGACGCAAAAGGCAGCTCATCTTTCGGGGTACTCATTCGTGATCCCAAAAACATGTTCTAGATGATTAAAGTTATTCTGTCCAATGGATTAGCAGCGTTTGCCGGTGCGTAAACCGCCTAAGAGCTTGTGTGTATATTCTGATTTCACGTCAAGCCGCTAACTAGCCCCAGATAGCCTCGCCCGGCGCAATAGCTTTATTTCTACTCAGAACGATCCCACTTCAACTCCGTGTGTACAAGAGTGGACAACCTCCCTAATCATGGCGCTAACTTGTGCTCTACACTAATGGCCGAATGACCCGTCGGTGCTGTGTCAAGTCATAGGATGCGACAAGGTGACCACAGCTTCGAGATGCGATGAAATTCGCGGAGGCAGAAATCTTTTTACGATAAACACAAGCTCTTCTGCCGCCAACCTGACACCCTAGTCCGCATCCGACCCAAACAATGCTTGCGGGGAATTGAAAAGCAAGCCAGGCAGTCATATGCATCTTCGGTGATTCTTGCACAACGCCACTTGCTATCGACCGATATCTCTGTCGGTAGTTTGTTTAAGCATCCAAATGGTCCCATGGGCTGCACGAGTGAGAAAAACTCCCCTCGGAAGGGATGGATCAGAAGCTGCCGACTTCGACTCCACAGTACGGGTCTCCGTGGAGCTCTGACGAGCGAAGCCGTTATCTGCGACCACACATTGCGAATACGCGGGTACTAGAATGTTCGACGCCAAAAGCGGGATGACACCCATGTGAATTGCCCACTAGCTCGCAGTCTTTCGGCTACACTTTGGAGACCGGGAAAACGCTATTGCGTCACGATCTCTGGTCTTTCAGCTCCGCGTCACTCCGAACGGCGTCGGAGTGTATCACAGGCCAAAGACGGAGGGGCTTTACGGCCCAGGTATCCACGGGAAAGGTATCAGCAGTTTTCTCGATCTCTTTTGGAAGGAAGCTCATACAGCACTATAGACACGCACCCAAACCTCGCATAGGAAATGGTAGTCATCGACAGATTTTCCAGATCTATCAAGCATCCACGCTGATGGTATCTGACACTACTCGATAGGTCTCGTACTTTTGGGGGGTATCTGCATTTGATTAACCGCAACAGGTAAACTACATGATGGACGTCACTGGTAATCCTCAGCTCCTCTCCTCATTCCTAGTCCCTCTACACGAGAAATTAGTTTCGACGCGGGTATCATCGTGCTACAGCAGCGGACATACGGAATGGCTGGTGTCGCTCATTGTACTTGATAGACGAAGAAATTCACTTTTCTGTGGCAGTGCTATCCCTGATTTGCGCTCTCAGCTGAGCTGATGATATCCCATACTGCGTAGGTCGTCGGTTCGACATGGCGCCCTGGGCACGACGGGTATAGCAGTCCGACTATAGACGATGCGATGTAGGAAATCGATTCCAGAGACTCTGTTTGACGGGAAGTACCCGATGCTGCTAAGAGGACCAGAATCCAGGTCGGGTTGCCACTGGTTCACCGTTCAAGTCTACTGTTGACTCGGACACCTGCTTGGGAGGCTTCAGTATGTCCAGCATTTTCTTCTGGCTTGGGAGACTTACAGATCACCTCTGCTTCCCTAGAAGCGAGCCTTAACTACAATCTATCTGCTCCTGATCAACACTTGAATTGATATGCTCTGCAGGAAAAAGTTTGGGTGCGGAGTCTTTATATTCTGACCCGAACTTGGTCTACATACATTCTAGTACAGTACCTTCTTACCCAAGGATAGACAGCATAGCGACATGTAGATTTTATTCTATCGTGGACGCCCGTGGTGGCGTGGTGGTAGTTTATCTTTCAACAGCTATCAAGCTATAAACCTGAATAGCTGACAAACCTGTTCTGGTTCTTCTGAAGTCTTTCAGGCCTGTCAGATGTGGTGGTGTATTTTATCAACCCAGACCGGTCGCCACCCTTCATTTGCTCCCTTTGGGTAGGGCCAAAATGTTGATAACGAAGTGACGATGTACTTGATACTGATGGAAAGTCTAAGAGTAAAACGCACGTTTACAAACCGTAACCATCTACATAGCACTCTTTTTGTTCCGTAGCCGCTTTCTGATTGAAAGACAGCGTCGATATGTTTACTTCGCATCCTATTTTTGCCTCCTGCTACTATCAGCCGATTGATCTCGTCGTTGACCAGTGGACTATCGAAATTCAAATATTTGGCCACTGCGCGATGGTCGATTCTGAATTCGCCCTAGAAACATCAATTCCCAAACTCGATGACTAGTAGGCGATCTCCTGGACGGAGCCGAACCTTTAGCAGATTTCTTTTAGAGTCGTGTTATCTCCAAGTTCTCCCTCTCGCCATCTGCCTTCGCTGCGGATGTTGCCAACGCTTTCAGGCAGGACACTCCGAGTCACCTACTACTCATCTCGAAAGTTTCATTTTCGATTATATAGTTGCAGGTACACAATATACGAAGTATACCATCGAAAGCTGGTATTTGTCAAGCCTCAACCGACCTACCGTCGGCGGGGACGACTCCGGTTGGTTTTGGCAAAATTCGGACAATCAACTTCCTGGGCTTCCCTCCACGACTACTGCGGTCCCACCACCACCTTTAACCATGGGCTCTGTCCTGCACCCAGTCTCAAGAGCCTAGGTGTCTGTAACGCAGAATATCCCGGCATGCCACCACTGTTGAAACTCGTGGTTTCCTTCGATGTTTGCCACCTACCCCTGCCTCGCCAGGCTTTCGTGGTCTTCATGGGCAGTTTGACTGTCTTGCCCAGTTCTGTGCAAGTACTGCCATTTGAATTGAATTTGACGCTCATTATAACGGCTGCAGCTCCAACCGGTACTACGTGGGTTCCTCTATCGTCGCCAGTGCCTTCTGAGAAAAGATCTGCAGTAATCGCGAAATCCCCTTCAAGTCGAGTTTTGTATCACATAGCTCGAGAGGTCCCGACTGACAAGGCAGGATCTCGAACTGCAATATGGGTACGTGTAGAATGAAGTACGACCTGCTATTGAAGTCTTGCCCGTGTGCGAGACAACGCTGTTCAGGGCATGGAAGAGGAGAAGGATGACGGAAACCGTGCTCAAGAAACATCTTGGAAGTACTAAGTGCTGGTATGTTCTAACTCATTTTTTAGAATAGGGTCCCGTAGTCTGTATTAGCGAAAGATGGCTCAGAACGTCAAAAGTAATCTGGATGTTGTTACTAAGTATATTAGATTTGAAAACACCCTGCAATCACGTTGAGGGCAAGTTGAGGTCTACGCTTAGTGAGCTTGTGGATGTCTGTCCTGTCCAAGTCGACGATTGTTGCACCTTCAGGCTACATAAATTAGGCAGTAAGGTTTGAGTAAGGTGTCCGGTGAGGACAGCCGCGCCGTCGCGAGGTCCAAAACCATGCGGAATATGCGGACCGATACTAATCATACTTCCTGGATGGTAGCATGACCCTGCGTTATTGTCAAAAATCAACCGGAGTCGTCTCGCCCAAAATAATACCCCGACTACTACTGTCAGTGATAAAAATCGACAAGTATCCTGACCTGAAACGCTTTTCAGAACAAGGTTCATTCCCAGATTTCTTTAAAAAATGAGGCAAGAATAAAGATTCAAGCAAGATATTCGAACTTTTTATGAGAGGACGGACGGTCAGGAACCAGGCGGATTTAATCAAGCATGCCCAATGTGGCTTCAGCCTTCAAAGTTCAACGTTCCAATTTCAGCCTACGTAAAAGCGAAAAAACTGACAGAAAGGGGATTCGAACCCCTGCCATCATACGATGATGAGAAACCCAGATAGGGCAAGCACCTTACGTAAATATTACGCAGTCGCTTGAGTCACACGCCTTGGACCGCTCGGCCATTCTGCCCTAGACTTGAGTGGTCTTGAATACATATACGCTCCCCTGCCAGATGCACAAAAAAATGGAGAAAAATACGTTTGAAAGGAAGGTTTTCTGTGGATGGGAATGGTTGTGGAGACGCAAACCCGATCATAATTGATCGTGATCGTAGTCAGTCTCTCTGCGGCCCGATCATGCTTTCGCTACGTAAAGTGATCGCTTTTGCAACATCCATGCTCTTTTGATTACCGGTCTCGACGACAGCACTACAAGAAGGTTCTAAGGTATTCCGTCATCGCCAAGAGCGCCAGGCTCTGTCCATATGGCATACTTGTCAAAGGTATCTGCTTGTACCCATCGATATCGTCGAACACAGGAGTTCCAAAGGACACCAACTTCAACTCGCCGGCTTCAGTGATATTATCCAACACAGCTTGAATCGCCTTCTTCGCAGTATTGACATATCTCTCTTCCTTTGGTATCAGTCTCAGCCTCAGCGCTTTCATGATTCCGTATGCGAATCCGGCCGTGCAAGACGCCTCCAAATACGATGTCGGATCGTCGAGAATGGTATGCCAAAGGCCGGTCGCAGAGTCTTGATATTTCACCAAAGCATCGATTTGAGCAACGAGAGAGGAGATTAGGAACAGCCGAACGCCGTCGGTTTCAGGCAGTCGAAGCATCTCGACAAAGTCCGGAATGGCTACTGTTACCCAACAGTTTCCCCTGCCCCATCGTGCCCGCCCAAAGTGGTGTCGTCCATCAAATGTCCACCCTGTTCATGCCTGTTAGTTCAGGCTGGAGTAGCTCGGACAAATATCTACCGTGAAACCACAGTCCAGTCTTCACGTCTTGCAGATACTTAATACTATAAACAGGAAGTGGAAACATCATCTCTTACGATCACAAAAACTTACTGTAGCAAGAATTGACGCTTGGCTTCTTCAACGTAGACAGGTCTCCCCAATACAAGACCAATCTTCGCCAAAGGCAAGACGGACATCATCAGGGTATCATCCCAAAGTTGCTGGTAGTTGTCAACAAGATACGTGATGTGCTGCAGACCGCCGTCTTCGGTTCTGGGCATGTCGTACATCACCCATTCGGCCCAGGAATCGAGGTGGGCGAGATAATTAGCGTGCTTCCCCTCATGAAGGTACGCGGCAGTCAACAATGGGGACATGGTATTGACGTTCTGTTCTAGAAGTCAGGCGAATGTTGTGTCTCGGTAACACGATCCACATACTTTGGTAGTTCCAATTTCAAAGCGGTCTTTGAACCACGTTAAGGAAATATCCAAGGCCTCCTGATCACCGGTGATCTCATGAAACTTCCAAAGTCCGTAAAGTCCTACTACGTTTAGATGTTTCGTCGTTGATACCGGAAATTACTAACCAACTCCGTGTGTCCACTAGAATACGCCAGTCAGAAACTGTCACTTTAAATAATAACGATGATCTCACCTCCCAGTCGTTCCACCCTTTTGTATCGATGACCCTTCCATCTTCCAAGGTCATGAGGAACTCTCCGGTCTCATCTTTGATGTTCACTAAGCAATTGATGAGATTTCGGATATGTTGTAGGGTTTGAACCTGCACAATGGATGAGGAAAAGGACAAACTGCGGACGATGTGCGGACTTACCTTTCGAGGGTTGATATTTCTAGACGACATAGCGATGAAAAGGAGCGTTCTCGCCGCAGATCTCGCTTTAAAGTGTGTAGAAGGGAAGCGACGGGCCGCGGGCCGCCAGCCGGGGGCATGTGGGGAAATAACGAGGTGCAATTGCGGGGCCCCGGACCAACGATCGACTTGTAGCAGGTCGCGTACCACTGTTAGACCAGGGGCGATCACATCACAGGACGTTCCGATCCCCTTTCATGGAATTGTATAAAAAGTTTGCTGATGCCTTCTCAGAGGGTCCGAAGTTTTAACTCCTTCTCACTATGTCGGACGTGGCGAAGGACTTACAGATACATGTTGAGGATGTCGAGAAAGGCTCCTACAGAACTGGCTCTCCTGCCTCTGGTGATTACCTCTTGTTTGACAATTCGTCACGGCCTTGATACTCCCTACACTAGGCGTACCGCCAGCCGGAATTGACGCCGAAGTCGCTAACTTTTTCGCGTCGCAGGACACGCCTGTAGTCATCGACGAAGCGACAAACAGGCGGCTCAGATGGCTCGTTCACAAGCGTGTCTTGGTACGATATTCTACATTTCCCTTCCTTCTGTCTCTCACTCTTCCCACTCGCTAGCTTGTCATGGTCGTCACTTACTGTAAACATGCTTGCTTCGTTTCAACGTATCCTGCACTTACATTTACCTTCAGTTGCACAAACATTGGATAAAGGGTGATTACTCGGCTACCCTCCGATATTCAAGCGCGTCATGTAACACTCTTTCATAGAACAATCAACTTCGCTTCGATTATGGGTATTCGGACAGACACCCACCTTCAAGGCCAACAGTATGCCTGGTTGACTACGTGTGGTAAGCATCAACACTCTAGTTTGGGGGCAGTTTTTTTAAACTATATTTCAGTCTATATTGCAATGTAAGAATTCACCATATCACATCTGTATAGACGTGTGACTCGTGTATACAGACTCGCCTGGGAGTTCCCGACCAATCGGCTCATTCAGCGACTCCCTATCGCGAAATATCTTTCGTTCAAGTATGTGTGCCTCTTATCTCCCGTGTCATAATGGAATCTCAGTCTCGTCGACAGTATCATGGCCTGGGGCGCCGTTCTAGCCTGCACAGCAGCTTGTAACAACTTCGTCGGTTTGATTATCGTACGAACACTTCTGGGTATATTTGAATGTGTCTGTCAACCAGCCTTTGTTTTCCTGTGAGTTGGCTTCGTTTTGTGGAAGACGCATCATTGACGTACGAAGGTCTACGATGTGGTATACCCGAGAAGAGCAGGCTTTGGTCATCGGGTCGTTTTATTCCATGAATGGCTTCCAGCAATGCGTCGGCGGTCTTATTGCCTATGGAATTGCCCAGATCACAGACGCCAAGATTAAGAACTGGCAAATACTATTTACTGTACGCGGCCTCAACTTTTCCCCGCTGCCTCCATTTCTAATCGATCTATCAGTTACTCGGCTGTATCACGTTCGTATGGGGTATCTTCGTCGGATTCTGGCTCCCAGATAGTCCCATGCGGGCCAAGTGCTTTACCCCCGAAGATCGCATTCTTATTGCGGAACGTGTCAGGAAAAATGATACCGGATTGCAGAACAAGGAGTTCAAGGTGAGGTCATCCTTAGTCACCCTTTCTTGTGCTCTGAGCTAAGTATTGCCACAGAAACACCAAGCGAGTACGTTGCACGTATGCACCCATAAAACGTCCCGTCCTGACCTTCCTTCAACAGTCGAAGGCCTTTTAGATCCAACCATATGGGCTATTACCCTGATCTCCTTTACGAATGCTTTGCCCACTGGCGGTATTGGTGCTTTCTCGAACATCATTTTGACTGCATTTGTGAGTATTGCGTCTTGTCGCCCAGATAGCCAGTATTAAACGTTAGAAGGGGTTCACGGTCCTGCAGACATACTTGCTCGCCATTGCGCAGGGTGACCATGACGCAGATTTCCATCCTACTCCTAATTAATCGTTTGCAGGTGCCATCATCATTTTCTTCTTGTTCAGTGCGGCATATCTATCGAAAAGGTACAACCAAAAACTTCTGCTAGCTTTCGTAAGTCCCCGTACATCAATGTTGTGACCTCTATGTAATACATTCGTTTGTGAATAGCTGTATACTCTCCCCAATATTGCTGGCACGATTGTATTTATCTGTGTAGAAACGTCCGCAAAGACAAAAGTCGGGCTTCTGATTGCTTTTTAGTATGCCTATTTTCTTGGTCCCAAAATTCTGCACTAACGATGTCCCAGTTGCACACAAGGTTTCGGCGCTGTTGCAGTCCTGAACTTAGCATTGATGTCCGGAAATGTTGGCGGGGTACGTGCAAAATAATGCCTCGCTAAGGATGCGAAGTGACAGTATTTGCACAGCGGTCCAAGCAAGTGATCGGGTCGACGCTGGTTTTTATGTGAGTGCATGGGCATCTGTAGAAATAACTAGACATTGAAACCTTGCTTAGCGCATGGGCAGTCGGAAACGCTGTGGGGCCACAAGGTGCGTTTTAGCTTTCTAGCACTACCGGAAATCTGGTGATAATGCGAGTTTAGTTTTCCGTTCTGATGACGGTCCTCGATACGTGAAAGCATGGACTTCCCACATGGTCATGTATGGGCTCCAGATCGCAACCATCTTCTTTCTCCGAGTCCGGCTTATGCGTTTGAATGTTTTGAAACGCCGTGCGCAGTCACTAAAAGAAAGTCAGGCTAGCGGTGAAGATTCGGTATGCTCATCCCCATGTGAGCATAGGGTTTGTGTTAACCATCTGCCCTTCAGGATGAGCATCTTGCTCATCGACGAGCCTTCGACGACCTTACCGACCAGGAAAATCCCGACTGTGCGTATCTGTTCAAACGCTGTAGGTTTCATGGACTGACCTTCCGAAACAGTCCGCTATGTCTACTAACGCTCCTTCGCGACGCCGGAGTACTGAATGATGATATCTGTGTCATGTACAATATTCTCAGGGTGTCTTTGTAAACAAGACGTATATTTCTGTTAAGTAAAATACATTGAGATCATTAACCCGTTTCAAATGAGATGGTACACAACACGACGAAAGACAGAAAGAAAAATAGATCAATGTTCGGTATCTGGAGGTTTGGAAAGAGTAATGTCAAGTCTTGTGGCGAGTTGGATGATATCGTGTTCAAGCTGAGAGATCCTTGTTTGCCTGTAAATCCAGTTAGTCGAAGAGTCAGAAACGTGTTCTCAGCACATACTCAAAGGAGGATTTCTTCCCAAACTCAAATGCTTGAGACACCCCGAGGGTCTGATTGGTTTGAGCGTGCTTGGCTTTCCATGCCTGCTCTTTCTGCAGTAGTGACTTCAAATCAGGGAGTACACGAGCATACTCTCGCTGTATCTGCGACGTT